TTTGAAATTGTACATTTCATCAAAAATAAATTAAAAATGCCATGTAAAAAAAATGTAGCTTAGAGACAGAAACTGATTGCAGATTTCAAATGAGCTATACAAAAATTTCCAAGATCTGTTAAAAAATCAAATGCAACAGAAAATTTTAAAAAAATATATGTTTCCCAGTATTATCTCTAAGACCACTAGACTGATTTAATTGAAATATTGTATGAAAATAGATCAATATAATACAAACAAAATATCAATTCAGCATTTGTAATACATAAACATGATTGTGTGTAACATTTATTAACATTGAAAAATATATGCACTGGGCTCATATCCAAGAGGTCGTGGGTTCGATCCCCGAATCATATCTCTGGGGGTACTGATCCAGGAGTCTTCTTGTCTTCTGGGTTGGTTCAAAATTGCAAGGCTACGGAGTTGAACATTAGTAATCGTAAACCCAAAATTGGGTCGGCTGTTCAACGAAGGTTATAAAATAAAATATGGTCTCATTCGTTAGACCGTCGCAAGTTAATTATACTTTTTACGTATTTAGCCATATCTCGAGAACTTTTTTTATCGAATTTAAAGTTTTTTGTACGCAATTATAAAATTCATTTATTTAAAGATAATTCCACGAAAAAAGTAATTTTTAATAATTATTTATTACTTCGTTTAGTAACAGTCTAAAAAACTTTAAATTGTAATGTGCAAAATTTTTTCACTATTTTGCAATGCAAAATACAAAATTTGAACGTAATAGGTTGAATAGTTCCTGAGGAATCAAATTTTTAAAAAGTTGTAAATTTAAAAATATGAAAAGGCAAAATACAAAATTGGTCGTATAGTTCCTGGGAAATCAAATTTTAAAAAAGTCGTATGTTTACATTTCGGTTTCTAAGGAACCATTTGACCGTTTTTGATTTATACATTATACATAGTTTTATACATTACCGTATTAAATTACTTTTTTTAAATTGATGTAAAAATTTTCTATGTCTTGTAATTTAGAATCTAATAAAAAAAATTTTTTTAATCCTATGAGAATAATAGGCTTCCTCTCAGTGTACTTTCAATGATACACTGTCTCAGCACCGTTATTTCATGTAAAAAAAAACTCAGTTAATTATTCCTGCGACATTAAAAGTAGACATTTTTATTGAAATGACAGTAGGGGCCGGGAGAGTAGGAGCCGACTATTATTAAATAAAATAATAAAATGTAATAAATATTTTTTGAATGTTAAATTTTGCATGGAATTATCTTTGGATAAATAAATTTTTCTATTCGCTTAAAAAGTTCTCGAGATATGGTGAAATACGCATAAAGTAAAATTAGCGTTAAGGGCTCCAAATATTGGACCACTCTTCTGCTAAAACAATTGAGACCATACCAAAAAAAGGTATTTTTATTCAGGGAGAGTAAGTTTTTGTGTCTTATTTCGTAATTTATATCATCTGCAGTTATTAATTAGCATATTTGAGGTCACCTTCTCAAAACTTTATGATTGAGCCCTGGAACGTGAAGATCCGATTATTAGATCAAAAGTTATTCAGGGGTGTTCATTTTTTATTTTACGCAACATGCAAATAAAAGTACTTCACTTCATTTTCACTTTTTCTTGTAACAAAACTAGGATAATTGAATTCTGAATTATTAAATTAACCAAGACTTGAGGCATACACCGAAGAGCCATTACATTATGACCACCCTCCATCTATAACAATGGGCTCGCGGCCAGGTTTTCATGGTTTCTCTCCCAGGAACAATGTTTTCATGGGGCACATTGGGACCCATATTCCTCATAGAACAATCCCTGACGTCTGTAAGCTACTTGAACATAGTTGCAGACCGGGTTCACCCATTCATGGCAACAGTTTTTCCAGCGGGGGATGATGTTTACCAACAGGATAATGCATCATGTCATAAGGGTCGAATCGTCGAGGAACATTCCAGTGACTTTCAAGTCATGTCTTGGCCCCCAAATTCACCTGACCTTAATCCAATGGAGCATTTGTGGTCCTACTTAGAAAATCAAATTCGTGCTGCCACGCTACCCCCTCGCAATGTGAGGGAATTGCAGGACCAGTTGGTGAGCGCTTGGTACCAGATAATTCAGACTACCTATCAGCATCTTGTGCCACGGCGGGTGATAGCAGTTTTGAGAACTAAAGGTGGTCCTACATGTTATTAGCAGGGTGGTCATAATGTAAT